ACAAGGTAGCTTAAAACCTTATTGAGAAGGTACTTTTGTGAATATTTTGATCTCAAACGCATTTCTTCAAATAAACAAGTCATTCTAAAGTTAGGGTCTATTTGGGAAGGGGCAAATGACTTCCGGGAATCATTTTCTTATTTTGCGGGGTTCGGTTATTTCGGAAAATAGGAGTCAACGAAATCACTAAGTCAACAGAAAATGAGCCTTATTTTGGGGGGAAATATTTCTGTTTTTTTTTCCGGCAGAAGACATTTTCCACCATTCTCCTACTTCATAGATTAAAACTTCCCGTGTTTTATTATGTTAAAACAAAAATTAGTTTTTTTTTCATTTTCCAAACTTGCCAAGGAAAAAGAGAGACTTCTCACCAGGTGCATTCCATGGGGACTTTGCAGTTGCGGCGCCCTCACAATCAGGAATACCAACATCCTTTCCATGTGCTTTCGCACTAAGAGCTTGAAAGAGCAAATTGTCCTTTAAGCCAATACCCATTGGTCTTAAAATTGGGGGATGTCCAGGGTACCCTTCGTTTGGAGCGAGGGAAGCGTGGTAGTCACTGCAGTAGTCCTGGGACTTCTGACACCAGTCTGACGCCATTGCAGGTCTCGGGCAATCCCAGAGGGCACACTTTGGCCCCAAAAAGGCAGAAGGTGGAGGGCTAACATGAACTAAGGGCAGGGCACCCTCTAGGCAAAGGGTCACAGCATTGAAGCCAGTGAAGTAGCGCTGCCCATATTGCTGACGAAATTCAAATGATTGATAATCTAACTCTGCTGGAATGCCCATATTGTCAATTCGGACACTGTTGACACTTGCGGTATTGTTCTTGCATTGATCAACCAGCTGGAATTGTTGTCCTTGAATTATTTGAGTAGCATTGAAACCCTGAGGCATATGTATAATATGTAATTACCTTATTACCCTAGACAATATGCTACCAAATCCCGATTTTAAAAAACAAAGGCAAATAAAATGTTGGAAAACGACTTGTGACAAATTTCATTGAACTCATGAATAAATTTCTTACTCAACAGTTTCTGCTTCAGTGTGTCTAAATATTGCTTTTGGAATATCACTAAAAATTATATATGTACCTCTTGATAACCAGCAGCATCAAGTTTTTGTGCATCAGGTTCATGCTTGGGTTCAGCTAAAGCACTGATGGCATCATCTTCCTCCTCACCAATGTGTACCAGCCTACAAAGGTCTGATGTGTTAAACCCCAGACTCCCTCCCTGAAAACAAAAGTGTCAACGCATGCATTCCAAAATATACACATTAAAATATAAAAAAGAAACACATGACAATAACACCAAACCCAGAAAAATCCCACTAAAGTAGGGTCTGGTGAGGGTGTGTAGGCAGATCTTACTCCTACTATGAAGTAGGGAGAATGTTTTCAAGAAAACTTTGTGTTCTTGGGTTCCGAAAACTTTGTGTTACTGGATTTGTTGGGATTTTGCCGGATTTGTTGTTGATGTTGCATCTGGTAAAGTGGAATCATAATTTTTGTGTACCTGCAAAGAGGAAGCAGGAGAAGGCTCATTCAGCTCCGCCTTCCATTCACGGAGCATCTGATTAAGCTGCTCCTCAAGAACCGCCACCTGAATAGTACGGCTCTCCTTCCTAAGGGACTGCATGTCAGTGAGCATCCCTTGCAGATCATCTACCCTATTCTTAGCCCTGTCCTTGAAGATCTGGTATGATGCTGATCTGCCCCCAATGCTCCTCGAACCCTTCCCCATCTCTAAACAAAACCCTCGCCTGCAAAATCCACACATGAACATCTTTTATTCCCAGCATACCAAGTTGAATTTCACACATGTTTAAAAAAAAAGAAGTTTAAACTGCAAAATTCACGCATGAACATCCAAATTTACGCATTTTGAAGTCTTAATACTGATATGGAAGGTTAAATAATTTCCCTAAAATTTAAAGAGAAAATTCAAAAAATGTCAAAAAAAAAAAAAATACATTCTTGCCTATGTATTTCTGAAAAGAAACTTACAAATGTTGCCACTGCCTATGTATTTAAAAGAAATTCATACTTTCTTATCCATTTCAAATTTTTAAAAAAAACAAACTTTCACTTCTCTGCTTTCCTATCAAGAAAATAAATGTGTCTTCTCTTTCAAACAAAAATTCAACCATACACTATTTCATTTTTCAAAGCTATTCTTAAAACCCTGAAACTAAACTATCAATTTCTTCTGGAAATGGATGGAATACATGGGTATCTTAAAATCCAATGATTTTTTTCCACAAGGCTTAAATTTATTGAAGTGAAATGAGAGCAAGAAGTGATTTTTAACTGAAAAGTATTGAGCTAAAATAAGCTCAACTGGGAATAAGTCAAAAAAGAAAAACTCAGAACCAAAGAAACAACATTTCCATAAACACCCAATTTCTAAACCTTGACTAAAGTCCATAAAAGCAGCACGAGAAGAAATTATGAAATGGGTCTGAATCAAACAAAAGATACAAGCAATTCAGTACCAGTCACATATCCTGCTTCTTTTTTTTTTGACAGAACATATCCTGCTCTTTATTCCGAAGAAAATTATTTAATTTATAAAACAAAAGGCGATCGTAGAGAACAAAGTACCTGGGACTCTGAGAGAGAGAGAGAGCGAGAGAGAGATGTGTGTGAGTTTCTCTCTTCTGCTATTCTGGTTTTTTTCTACACAGCACAAACCTAAAAACGAATAAGAAAAAGGAATGGGGAAGAAAGAGGAATGTGATGCGCGGCAAAATCAATGAAGATCTGATGTTGGTCGGTGGAAGTCACACTTTGTCTGTTTTTTTATTCTCCAAAAGTGAAATCGCTCACCCCGGGCGCCCCTCATCCCCGACCCGACGGGATTGTGAGAGGAGGTAAATCACGGTGACCCAAGCACAACACTTAGCTAGACCATATCCTAATGCGCACCAGAGACTCCCCCCATTTTTCAGAGGTGGTCGCCCCCACAACGGTCGCTGCCAGGTTTCGATCCTTGGTCATTCTCCAAACTTCACCAAGTGCTTGCCACTTGGGCTACCCGTGCGAGTTGTCTGTTTTTTTATGTGAGGGGTAATGGAGGATGTAGTTATTAAAAAATATATATTCAATACTCGAAAATTAATATTTAATTATTCAAAAATGAGTACTCGTCGCGGGTGTAAATCCAAAATTTTTATCGAATTGATTATAATTTTTGAATTATTAAATATTAAATTAATATTTGGATTTACATTTAGAAAAAATATAATCTTGTCACATCTTATTTTATAAAAATTTTTATGTAGCTTTTAAATATATAAATTTTTTTAGTTCTATTCTATTTTTAAATCAATAAAATTAAAAATAATTTCAATCAAACCTCGTAAAGAAGACGATTTAAATTGGAACAGAAGGAGTAATATTTTTATCCAATCATCCATACTTCAAAATGTTTTGATCCAATTTTCTTATCTTGTAATAAGTTGAAGAGTAAATTCCATAAAAGGTCCCCAGTTATTGGTCGATTTACATATTTAGTCCCTACATATCAAATATTACTAATTTAGTCCCTAATTATTATATTCATTTCCACGAATAGTCCTTTGTTAACATTTCTGTTAAGAACGTGGATAAAATTGTAAATTCACACTCCTTTCTTTCCTCAATTAAGCTTCCTTCCTCCCATCGCACTCCTTTCCCAAACTCGTTGCTGAGTTTGAAGCTCTAAACCCAAACTGAAATGATCATTTCTCTCTCAATTATTGGTTTTCTTGGTGGAACCTGAAATCAAAACTAATAAGCTTTATGGATGAGTTTTATCAGTTAGTCTCAAGAAATTACAAAGAAAATAAACATTAAAATTTATCCAAGAAGGTTACTGGTTTCGAATTTGGGTTCCACTAATTAGACAAACAATTGAGAGAAGAGTGATGATTTCAGTTTTGGGTTCAAAGCTTCAAACTCAACAACGGTTTGAGAAAGGAGTGCGAGGGGAGGAAGGAAGCTTAATTGAGGAAAGAAAGGAGTGTGAATTTACAATTTTATCCACGTTATTAATGGAAATGTTAACAAAGTTCCATTCGTGGAAATGAGTATAATAATTGGGGACTAATTTAGTAATATTTGATATGTAGGACTAAATATGTAAAACGACCTATAACTGGGGACCTTTTATGGAATTTACTCTAAGTTGAATGAAAGTAATGGGTATATTGAAATAATGATTCTTTTATCGATAGCGATATTTTGACCTTGGATTCCAAGATGATTTTATAATTCGGGCACGTACAGTAAAATATTGTATCCAATCAGTGAAATGGGGTGGGGGACAACTACGGTGGAGGCAGGGAGGTTTAGGGAGACAGGAACCATCGATTTTATCAACGGAGCACTCTAGGTAAAAAGAACCTTTTTATTCTTTTATAATGTACTTCGTACATAATACCAGCTGTACTCCATAACTCTCAAATCTTGTTTGGGAATAACGTTTTCGATTAATATTAACATTTCGAATAAAATTTTAGCAATATAGATTAATTCTGAAAATGTTAAAACTAAAAGCTACCATCTCTTTTTCAAAACGTTAACCGCTAATGTTGAGGTCAAACAAGGCCTTAGTTTAATATTGAGTAACCTCTCTGGCCTTTATTATAAACTTATAGACAAGACAATGGATAGGTTATACAAAAACATTTAAAAGAGACAAAGATAACAAGACACGTGACGTAAAAAAGCCAACAACTTGATGATTAGTGGGCGAGTTGGGTTGAAGAAACAAGAAAATACGACTTTAATCTCAAGGACCATTATTGTCTATGACGCTAACAGTGTCAATCTTGATGTCATTTGTAGTATGACTGTATCATGACCCGAAGAAGACGAATGACAAATCAACACGAAACCAAATAGACCAAAACCAAACCAAGCGAATCGTAAATGGTCTGGCTGGCAATTTAATATTTCGCTTGGAAAAACCCACCAAACACATCTATAATCAAAACCCAAAAAAAGTTTAAGACCAAAAATGACTCTAGGCAACTCGATTCGGTTTTGGTTTTGCGCTTACAAAACCGAAACCGAACCGACCAAAGAGAGCATCTTGACCTTTCAATCAGCAGGGGGGAAGTACTTCATTTGTTTTTTTTATGTGAAACTGTGAAAGGCAAAAGCATAAATTGTTGAGAGTAAGAAAGGCATAAAGGGCACACCCCATTACCATCTCCAAGATTCTCTTGTAAGTCAATCCTTGATGCACCTTGGAATGGGAACCCTTCACTCCACAGTGCAGAAAAAAGATTGGATGAAATATATTACTCCATAGCTTTTCCAGATAGGGGAGCATCTGGAATATCTTCATCATCATAATCAGTATCAAATGCCAAAACCCAAAGACTGAAGAAATAAAACTGTCTCATCTTTTAATGGACTCACACATGCACATCTCAAATGCCTACCAAAATGTGATCTATATGATGTAATCCATGATTCCGTGGAATCCGGAAAGCTGTAAAGGATTTGAAGAAGATGAGGACGAAGAACTTGAAGCTTTTTAAGTTTCTTTTTTTCTGGTGCAATATATCAAATTCCAGAAAAAAATTACGAGTGTATATGATATAGGGATTCTTTCTCCCTTTGTTGTAATTTCTGTGGTAGAAATGGCCACATCCCGAATACGGGTTTATTTTACCATGATCGCCAATAAGAGCTGAGCTAAGTTCTGAGCTCTTTTTCATCAGTAATGGGGAGGTAGGGCCAAAGAATGGAAGAAGGAAAAATATTGATATTTCGCAGTAAGGGTTTTGTGAGATAAAAGACAGGTCATTCTGACTTGGTAGCTTGTTCAGTCAAGGGCAATTTGAATTTGAATACACCGGCAAGCCCCCTCCCCCGAGCTAGTTGTTCGAGCTCTTCGATTTTGCGTTTAAGCTCTTCAATTTCCCTAGCCATCGCTTCGTCTCGTAGCCTCACTTGCTGGAACCATAACATGCATTAAGGTATTAGTTGAATGCCATATACAATTAAAGCACTTTGTGGATATCTATAGAAGAACAAAACACCCACTAAAATCCCACAAAAAATAAGATCTAAGGAGAGTGTGTGTCCGCTACCGCTACTAGGAAGTAGTTTATGGATATTCATATACTATCAAACAAAGGGGGTGCTTCTCTGTGCTGGTGCTTATTGGCTTATTATTGATAAGCAGGTTTTAACTTTTAAGTCAGCTTTTAAGCACAGAGTAACATATTATCAGCTGACTAATAAGTTAAAAACTTTTTATAAACAAATTTGACTAACTTATAAGCACAGAGAAACACCCACAAAATCAAAGTTTTTATGATGCGTGTATAGTGCAAGCATAGATGTTTGTCTAAAAAACAAAGAAATGAGTTAGGGAAACAAATCAAAACAAACGACACTTTACCTCCATCTCGTGTCGGCGGAGCTCCTCCTTCTTAGCTTCTGATCGAGCACTACGTTGCACTTCAAAGATAAGAGCTGCTACAGCCACCTAGTAATGATTTTAGTATAAACATTAGCACATACATGTTAAAAGACATAAATTTGAGTAGTATTATTTTGCTCGATAGTTGCAACATTAAAGAAAAGGTAAATATGCTCTGAGAAGTGAGAACTCATGTTACCAATATAGATGTGATCTATTTATGTTTACTAAATATCGATTCTGAGTCTGGGTAAAAATTTGACTCACTGAACCACATAGGATAAAAATACATATGAGTAATAGATTCATAATCAAATGTTGTCATTTCACGGCAGGGGAACCACTCTGAGATTTGGTTTGTTAATATATTATCCATTGGATTAGGCTTAAACAGAATAAATGCAAAACACAAAAATGGGAGTTTAAATTCCTAAAAAGCATTGCAGCAAACTGGGAGTTTAAACTCATTGAATTTGACTTTATAACCCAATTCGAATTCTCATTAGTTCCAATGGTAATATAAGCAAATGACATACCTTAGACAAATCTTTGTGTCCAAATTCATATGAAACATGTCACATTCAAAACTACATATCGAATAAGATCTTTGATCAAAAGAGTGACCAAGTCTAACACATTCAGCATTTGTATACTACCAGATAACTTGAAATTTTAAATGTAACTACCTCTGTCCCAAAATAAAAGAGAGTTCGGTTTACAATGGTTGACAGAATCTACCTTCAATTCATTTTAAAACTGGTGTAGAAATGAATTATAAATTTATATATTTAAAAATTACATCAAAACTTCTAAAAACCAAGAGGTGACATGACTATATTATTTGTTCAAATTATTGATGAAAATATGTAAAGAAATAAAGTATAGTTTGATCATGTCAATAGTAAATCCATCTATTATTTGAAACCCATTCCAGCATCATTGCAACCATATAATGTCAATATGACACTATCATTTCAAACTTGGAATGTATCACCATGTGAAGAATATATTTTCATACACATTACCCCATGAGTTGATTAAAATCTTTCCTTAGAATAGATTTGAGTACAAACAAGGGCATGAGGGAAACATACAAACACGTAATGTAAAGGTAAATAGAAAGGTACCTACCGAAAAAATGAAAAATTCTCCAAGAAGATCTACAGCATTCTGCACGGCTTTCTCCTCATTCAACGGTCGAATTTCAACATCAGTTGCATGACCATAGATACGCCTTTGCATTGTTGTGGTGATTCTGTGGTTTGCCTGGATACAACAAATCAAATATATATACACACACACACACACACACACATACATACATATACACACACACATACATACATATACACACACACACATACATACATAAAAGATGATTTAAAAAATCCTCACTTGCCGTGATATCAAGTTTTTCAAAAAAATCAACAAAGATGGAACAAATAAGTGTTTGCCAATTCTTCCAGACCAACAACTCTGTCATCGAGTCATCAACTAATCTAAAACCTTAATGAATTTAGTCATCTATTGATGCTGAAAGCAATTACAAAGTTGCAAACTGATGGCATCCTTCTCCGTTTCAGTACAAATAAGAAAGCTTTTATTCACCTCTATCAAATATGCCTCTGCGAAGGTTTTCCAAACAGGAAACTAAGTATACTTATAATAGTGATAGTTGACTACCCCCTCCATTCCAAAAACAAATTCCACTTTACTTACTCATCCATCCCGAAATAAACTTCTCACTTTCTTAGTTTCTTTCTTTCCATAAAAAGAAAAGACAAATGGGGTTCAAGACACTTTTCTCTTCTCTAAATAAATTCCACCCACACTTTTATTTTCAACACATTTCTTTCACCAACTTATATCTTTTAACTCCTTCAGTTCCCAACAAGGTGTTTTTGTTATGAATTCTGAATGTACAAACTTCAGTCTACAAAAATTGAAATGTGCATTGTTTCATTTGGCAAACTTCAGTTCTACATTTCTCTGCCTACAAATCTCAGTCCACTTAATCACTTCTCTATCTTTAAATATTTCAAATATTCAATGCTACAACCAAACTCTCCAGAGCATCCATCTACATGTATCTTCAACAACAACAATAAAACTCATCTGTCTAAAAAAAAAAGTCTTATTGAAAGACTTACTTTTGTCCCAAAAAAGTCTTTTTTGAACAAAAAGACAACTTTCCACTATATCAAATGCTTTTTAATAAAAAAACATGTCCCAAACAAGTTACAAATTTAATTGAGCTAAATCTACAAATAAATTAGAAGTATAGCTATACATCTATAATTGATTATTTCTGATTATTGTACCTCATTATGATAAGAAGTTTCACCTTAGAGTGAGAGGGTAACATACTAACATACCAATGGGTAAGAGTAAACTCACACCTTAAATGGCTAATTGGCTAAATCCATACCATCTTACCCAAATTTGATAAATCCACTTTCTAAATGGGTCTTTAGGCAATTTACCCCTTGAACTCTTCAAAAATTACATGAATTTCTCACCTTTTAAAAACATTGCATCAATTGTCTCTCTGCGTCAGATTTGGGAGCGCATTAATCACACAATCATTATACTTGTTGGAGCTTGATAAAGATGTCATGGATTGATGAAAATATTGATCAATTGATGAAGAGCTTGATTGACTGATGCCTAAACTTCAAATTCGATAATCGACGGCTAAAGCGTGATTGCATGAATATTTATCTGGACTTTCAAGAGGTTTGAAATATAGAAAACAAAGAAAATAATGTTCGAGAAAACATATTGCAGAACTCAAGTGCGATACATGAGTTTAGATGGATCCACACTTGCACTGGACAAACGTGTGATTAACGTACACCTAAATCTAACGTAGAGGGACCATTGATGCAACCTTTTTGAAAGTTCAGAGACCATTAGTGCAATTTTTGAAGTTCACCGGAAATCTGTACAATTTTTGAAGAGTTCGGGGTTAAATGGCGCAAAAAAAACTCCTTTCTACACTTGAAGAATATGTGTAGGCAGTGTAGCATAGAGAGTAAGTTTAGCAAATCTGGGTGAAATGTGTGGATCAGCTTTGATTACACACATTACTTGTACAGATGACACAATATGAAAATCACACAAACAAACACCTATAAATATAAATGTTAATACCTGAGCAATGTTGATGATGAAATTCCGGAACTTGGGGTGCCGTCCGGCTTCCTTCTTGAGCCGGGCGGCAATGGGTTTGCTCATAGTCTTCAGCGCGAGCGTCCCGAGCTTGATAAGTGGAAGCATTATTGTTACCTGCTTCAATCAACAGTCTCTATTTCTCCAGATCTTGGGACTCTTACGGAATCGCGAAACCCAATCGTATCCCTAAATGTCTTTGCCCATTCATAATGCGTGGATGATGATGAAGAAGTGAAACCAGTAGAATTTGACCGATTCCGGACTGCGTTTGATTTCTTGGTGAGGAAGACAGAATCCGTGTGGGTAGAGTTCCCCTAATGAAGGAGAAGAAAGTTACTAGTAGTTTATACAACGAAATTATTGTTCATTCTAAAATTTTTCTCAAATTTTAAGATGAAGTTTTTTGTGTTCTACTCTGCAATTCTTAAGATATACGGAGTATTTGACTTAAAGAAAAACATTTTTCTAGAAAATTCTAATTCTATTTTCGAATATTAGGTTGCATAAGTGGTAAACGTAGGAATAAATCATTTCCTTAAAATAATATTTTTCTCAAAGAGATGAAAATGACTTTTGTTTGTTTTATAAAAAAAGTCAAAACACAAATTTTGTTGACTTGTAGTTATCTTTAATATACAAGAATACCTCTTACCTAGTCTCCGGCTAGAATATGAGTCATTTGATTTATATTACAATCAAACCCAATCAAATTTCTGCAACCATTCATCATGAGAGCTTAATCATGCCCCCTTTGAACTTTTAAACACTCCATAGAAGCCAAAGGCTATTCAATTACACGCCTAACCAAACACTACAACATAATTCTCAAAACTCCATAACAACATTAAGATAATTAAGTAAAATTATAATGTGAAATCGCCACGTACAAAACTTTTAATTACGGAGTAGATACTTACTTTGAGTATCAAGGGATGATATCACATGCCCTATGATGTTCCGTAAGTAAAATTAGTTATTTCTACGTTGTAAATCTCTTACACATCATCCCAGCCTCCTTCGTATTGCTAATTAGTTATACGAATTTAATGTAACCAATTGGCGATCCAATAGGGGGGAGAGGTTGGGTTGAGGTGCATGGGGGCGGGAGTTAGAATTTAGAAGACCATCAATTTTATGAACATTATAGGTAACTTAAAAATACAGTGGCACCATAGTGTAACTTAAAAATACAGTGGCACCATAGTGAAACCTCAACATTCTTAAATTACAACTCTTTATAAATTTTTAGTTGATTGATTTGGGTTCTTCAAGTACGTGCGTGTCACCATGTTACATAATAGCAATATCTCCTAACTGGATAAGTTTTTATATTACCATAATTCATTTTTGTTTTAACAGACATAAATTCACAGAAATACATACGAAGTAATATATACTCCCTTCGTCCCCATAGATCTCCCATTACACGTTACGAGACTTGATCAATTTTATTTTTTGATTTTATTTATTTGACTCTAAATGTAAAATTTAAAAATAAAATTCATATAGTAAAAAACTACTTGAAAAAGCCAACAAAACAATATGTGAAAAAACTATATCACTTTATGAGATGAATAAAAAACTAAGCTAACAAAGCGAGTTAATGAATGATGTCTGAAAAAATCTATGCAGGATGGAGGCGTATTTGTAAACTCATACTCCCTCCGTCCCATAAAGTGTTACCCATTTTGACTAAAGTTGAAATTAAGGGAGTGATAATTTTGTGTTGACTTTCCAAAAATACCCTTGATGTGATGGGTAAAAGTATGATGTGATGTGTAGATTATTAGGAAAAAGGTATGATGTGATAGGTAGGGTTTGAAAAAGTAAGGGGTAAAAGTAGTTTTTTAATAGAAATGAGTAAGGGATTGAGGGACACAATTTTTTTGAAACGTGTAAATCTTTTTGGGACGGAAGGAGTATATTAAATACCGAGTAATAAAAACGAGGTCTAAAAAGGACAATTCAACTTTGGCCTAAATATTTTGAGCTCATCATTTGTAAGTGATAAATGATCCATCTCGTTCACCTCATGTTTTCAGCTTAATACATATTCTCGTTATAATCTAATCAAGATTTAACTAGATAAGATCAGATTTAATCAGACAGAAAATAACTCTAAACAAAACTACAATAAAATCAAATTTGATTAAACCAGATTAAAATTAAATCTAATCAAATTAGATCAGATCATATCTTCAAAAAATAAGATCAGAACATATTAGACGAACCAAACACAACCAAAATGAATGAATTTATGAAATGACATACTCCACATTTCAAATAAATGGTTGGGCTGTAAAAGAAGAGTGGCCCATAAACACGGTTCAGAGTCCCTAGTTGGATTATACGGAGAGAAGGCAAAAAAAAGATTTCCCGAAAAACCCAGCAAGGCTTCAACCAAATGTTATCATGATAGAGTCCAAATAAACAACGCACAAGAAATGATTTGAGGAAAAAAAAGATTCCTTTTTTATATTTAAAGAAAATCTCAAATCCCCAAAAAAGGCGTCACATGAACGATTGATTCATCTCGTAAATACGGAGTAAATGAGCCTGAAATTTCATACGGAAAATTCATAGATTTCAATGTTTCTTTATCAAAAAGACTGAAAAACTTCAAGTCAAAAATCGGGGGAGAAAATTGAAATAAAAAGGGAAAAAAGAAATAAAAGCATCGAAGATAAAAAGAAAAAAACATGGAATTTCTTGGCGGAGTTGTTCTTCTACTGTTTCCATTTGGTGTTTCTTACCCTTATAATAACAATTCTTTAATATTCTTCTTGCCAATTTTGCTTCCCCTCCCTGTCATCTCTCTTCTTTCGTGTTTAATATGTTTGCTCGGCCCGATTTTCCCCCGTTTGAGTGTTCTTGGCCGCCGCGATCTGGTCATCTGTAGGGATTTTAACATCGGTAGGGTTGGGCGGGTTGTTCGGCCATCGAATTGTTTGTTTTTGCTTGAGGAATCTAGGGTTTGTGAGCTTCCGTTGACCGGCGATGGAGGGTGGTTCTGAAGGAGAGAGCAACAGGAACGTTCATCAGAGCCCTTCTGATGGCCAGCCAAAGAAACCCAAGCGCCAGATGAAGACTCCTTTCCAATTGGAAACCCTAGAAAAAGTCTACGCAAGTATGTTTGTTTCTGCGTTTTTGTGTGTTTTGATGCTGTGTGTGGGTGGGTACTTTTATGTAAAAAATGGGATTTTTAGACGATTCTGCTAGTTTTTCCACATGCATGTGTTAAATTTCGCTGAGACGACTGTTTACGGACAAGAACACCTGTATTTCAATGAAGGCTATGGAAGCTGAACTTCCTTTTGTTACAATGGAGTTTATCAGCTTCTAACGATCCATTGTGCTGAAATGTAGTATACTCTGTAGAGTATTTTTATGCAAGGTGATCAGTGAAAGATGTTAACTTTATGTTAGCGTAGGTGAGACAAAGTTAATATTTGGAAATTTTGACCTTTCCCATGTATCATGCAGGCAGAAGTTTGTTTTCTTGTTTTTTAATGGATAGTCAAGGTTTTAGATCTTGTTGATGGTTATGGTGTGGATATTTTGTATGTACAAAGTATATGCCACCCTACATAATAATCATTTTGAATATTCTTCTACTTTTTCTGACTTTGCAGTGGAAACTTACCCAGCTGAAGCAATTCGAGCAGAGCTATCAGTGAAATTAGGGTTGACTGATCGGCAGTTGCAGATGTGGTTTTGTCACAGGAGATTAAAGGATAAGAAAGAAGCTGCAGGGGTGGCTGCAATGAAGCCACGCGTGGGACCTAATGATGGTGTGAGTGGTAAGAGGAGTTTCACAGAATCAATCAGAGAAGATGTTGCAATTCCCGAGGTTGGTACTGATCGTAGGTCTGGATCTGGTTCGGGATCCGGTTCTGGTTCCGGGTCTAGTCAGTTTGATAATGGAAAAGGCATGCCAAGCGCGCCAATGAGGTACTATGAGTCACCTAGAGCAGCAAAAGAGCGTAAGATTATTGCTTGCATTGAGTCACAGCTGGGAGAGCCTTTACGGAAAGATGGACCTATTCTTGGTGTGGAGTTTGATGAACTTCCACCTGGCGCATTTGGTGCTCCGATCGGTACTTCTAAGTCTTTTATTTTTAGAAATTTCTGATCTTTATTGCTCATTTTTTATTTGTGCTATCCTGCTTGGTAAATATACATCTTTTTACTTGAAAGACAGAACTTAAGATTAATGCAGAAATTCATAGATCTTTTATGTGTGGATGCACATATTGACTTGTTCTTTATTTAGATTGTAAAAGACTTCATAATAATGGAATCCCGTTCTCATTCTCATTTCTTAAATGGGAGGCTTTCCCATTGCCTCATTGCATGTTTATTTGTGTTTTTTTGTGCACGATACAACCCTGGCTGCAAAGGTAACTACTAAAGCAAAGAATTATGTTTTCGTTGGTTATTCCCGACTCCAAAAAGGTTATTGATGCTGCTCTTTGGAGCTAAAACAAGGATTTGGATCCCCACATGTCACCTATGTCTAGTCTGTTTTTCTCTTCGCTATCCCTCGTCATATGAGGATTTTATCAACCTTTGAATACTTTTGCTGTTCCCAACTATCCTCACAATAATAACCTCAGCTTTTACCCTACCAGTCCCAGAAGGTATTTCCTAACCGCTACAGGTTATCATTATTGGCCACACCTTAAAACAATGGCTCGTAATGACTCATCCAACTTTTATAACTCTTAAAGTGCATTTATTTTGTTGTATTTGTAGATCATATTGTCATAGCAAGAAACGACTTTGAAGGCACCAAAGAGCTAAGAACACACCAATATAATATATTCCAAACAAAATAATCTGGGAAGCTATGTACAGAGTATTTTATAGGAATTGAGGTGGCCCACTATAAAAATTGTAAAATCGTTCCACGGATGAAGTATGCTCTAGACATTGTGGATGACGATGAAGTATGGTTGACTTTAAACCCATTGAGAACCCCATGGATCCCAATGTTGAGCTTTTACCAGAACGGAGTGACTTATTATTGCGTCCAAAACTATACAATAGGCTCATTGGAAGGTCAAATTATCTTACACACGCCTGACTTGATATTTCATTTGGAGTGAGTGTATTTTACAAGTTCTTAGATTTTGCTTGCAATACACATTAGGATTATTTGATNCACTTGTTGTGTTTGCTATTTAAATTCCTAAATCTATATCTTAAGAGTGGTTATCTTAAGTGTGAGTTTTAGGTTCTAGATATTTGATTAAGTGTGTCATATCTTAATTAAATTCTAGATTCAAACCCCAAGTTAGGATAAGAGTGTGTAATATCTTTTAACACCAACTTGGTTTTATCCATCCCTGATTTTTCTTCCATTTCATATCCCTCCATTTCTCCTTCTTAACCCTATTCTTTTCTTCCATAAAATACCAAAAAGAACTCCTAAAACACCATCCATACTTTTGCCCACTATTTCCCTTCCATTTTCCTCCGCAAATCCGCCACTAAATTATCAACTTAATAAGACCCCCGTTTCACCCCTAACACAAGAGGTGTATCAAATAATCCTAATGTGTATTGCAAGCAAAATCTAAGAACTTGTAAAATACACTCACTCCAAATGAAATATCAAGTCAGGCGTGTGTAAGATAATTTGACCTTCCAATGAGCCTATTGTATAGTTTTGGACGCAATAATAAGTCACTCCGTTCTGGTAAAAGCTCAACATTGGGATCCATGGGGTTCTCAATGGGTTTAAAGTCAACCATACTTCATCGTCATCCACAATGTCTAGAGCATACTTCATCCGTGGAACGATTTTACAATTTTTATAGTGGGCCACCTCAATTCCTATAAAATACTCTGTACATAGCTTCCCAGATTATTTTGTTTGGAATATATTATATTGGTGTGTTCTTAGCTCTTTGGTGCCTTCAAAGTCGTTTCTTGCTATGACAATATGATCTACAAATACAACAAAATAAATGCACTTTAAGAGTTATAAAAGTTGGATGAGTCATTACGAGCCATTGTTTTAAGGTGTGGCCAATAATGATAACCTGTAGCGGTTAGGAAATACCTTCTGGGACTGGTAGGGTAAAAGCTGAGGTTATTATTGTGAGGATAGTTGGGAACAGCAAAAGTATTCAAAGGTTGATAAAATCCTCATATGACGAGGGATAGCGAAGAGAAAAACAGACTAGACATAGGTGACATGTGGGGATCCAAATCCTTGTTTTAGCTCCAAAGAGCAGCATCAATAACCTTTTTGGAGTCGGGAATAACCAACGAAAACATAATTCTTTGCTTTAGTAGTTACCTTTGCAGCCAGGGTTGTATCGTGCACAAAAAAACACAAATAAACATGCAATGAGGCAATGGGAAAGCCTCCCATTTAAGAAATGAGAATGAGAACGGGATTCCATTATTATGAAGTCTTTTACAATCTAAATAAAGAACAAGTCAATATGTGCATCCACACATAAAAGATCTATGAATTTCTGCATTAATCTTAAGTTCTGTCTTTCAAGTAAAAAGATGTATATTTACCAAGCAGGATAGCACAAATAAAAAATGAGCAATAAAGATCAGAAATTTCTAAAAATAAAAGACTTAGAAGTACCGATCGGAGCACCAAATGCGCCAGGTGGAAGTTCATCAAACTCCACACCAAGAATAGGTCCATCTTTCCGTAAAGGCTCTCCCAGCTGTGACTCAATGCAAGCAATAATCTTACGCTCTTTTGCTGCTCTAGGTGACTCATAGTACCTCATTGGCGCGCTTGGCATGCCTTTTCCATTATCAAACTGACTAGACCCGGAACCAGAACCGGATCCCGAACCAGATCCAGACCTACGATCAGTACCAACCTCGGGAATTGCAACATCTTCTCTGATTGATTCTGTGAAACTCCTCTTACCACTCACACCATCATTAGGTCCCACGCGTGGCTTCATTGCAGCCACCCCTGCAGCTTCTTTCTTATCCTTTAATCTCCTGTGACAAAACCACATCTGCAACTGCCGATCAGTCAACCCTAATTTCACTGATAGCTCTGCTCGAATTGCTTCAGCTGGGTAAGTTTCCACTGCAAAGTCAGAAAAAGTAGAAGAATATTCAAAATGATTATTATGTAGGGTGGCATATACTTTGTACATACAAAATATCCACACCATAACCATCAACAAGATCTAAAACCTTGACTATCCATTAAAAAACAAGAAAACAAACTTCTGCCTGCATGATACATGGGAAAGGTCAAAATTTCCAAATATTAACTTTGTCTCACCTACGCTAACATAAAGTTAACATCTTTCACTGATCACCTTGCATAAAAATACTCTACAGAGTATACTACATTTCAGCACAATGGATCGTTAGAAGCTGATAAACTCCATTGTAACAAAAGGAAGTTCAGCTTCCATAGCCTTCATTGAAATACAGGTGTTCTTGTCCGTAAACAGTCGTCTCAGCGAAATTTAACACATGCATGTGGAAAAACTAGCAGAATCGTCTAAAAATCCCATTTTTTACATAAAAGTACCCACCCACACACAGCATCAAAACACACAAAAACGCAGAAACAAACATACTTGCGTAGACTTTTTCTAGGGTTTCCAATTGGAAAGGAGTCTTCATCTGGCGCTTGGGTTTCTTTGGCTGGCCATCAGAAGGGCTCTGATGAACGTTCCTGTTGCTCTCTCCTTCAGAACCACCCTCCATCGCCGGTCAACGGAAGCTCACAAACCCTAGATTCCTCAAGCAAAAACAAACAATTCGATGGCCGAACAACCCGCCCAACCCTACCGATGTTAAAATCCCTACAGATGACCAGATCGCGGCGGCCAAGAACACTCAAACGGGGGAAAATCGGGCCGAGCAAACATATTAAACACGAAAGAAGAGAGATGACAGGGAGGGGAAGCAAAATTGGCAAGAAGAATATTAAAGAATTGTTATTATAAGGGTAAGAAACACCAAATGGAAACAGTAGAAGAACAACTCCGCCAAGAAATTCCATGTTTTTTTCTTTTTATCTTCGATGCTTTTATTTCTTTTTTCCCTTTTTATTTCAATTTTCTCCCCCGATTTTTGACTTGAAGTTTTTCAGTCTTTTTGATAAAGAAACATTGAAATCTATGAATTTTCCGTATGAAATTTCAGGCTCATTTACTCCGTATTTACGAGATGAATCAATCGTTCATGTGACGCCTTTTTTGGGGATTTGAGATTTTCTTTAAATATAAAAAAGGAATCTTTTTTTTCCTCAAATCATTTCTTGTGCGTTGTTTATTTGGACTCTATCATGATAACATTTGGTTGAAGCCTTGCTGGGTTTTTCGGGAAATCTTTTTTTTGCCTTCTCTCCGTATAATCCAACTAGGGACTCTGAACCGTGTTTATGGGCCACTCTTCTTTTACAGCCCAACCATTTATTTGAAATGTGGAGTATGTCATTTCATAAATTCATTCATTTTGGTTGTGTTTGGTTCGTCTAATATGTTCTGATCTTATTTTTTGAAGATATGATCTGATCTAATTTGATTAGATTTAATTTTAATCTGGTTTAATCAAATTTGATTTTATTGTAGTTTTGTTTAGAGTTATTTTCTGTCTGATTAAATCTGATCTTATCTAGTTAAATCTTGATTAGATTATAACGAGAATATGTATTAAGCTGAAAACATGAGGTGAACGAGATGGATCATTTATCACTTACAAATGATGAGCTCAAAATATTTAGGCCAAAGTTGAATTGTCCTTTTTAGACCTCGTTTTTATTACTCGGTATTTAATATACTCCTTCCGTCCCAAAAAGATTTACACGTTTCAAAAAAATTGTGTCCCTCAATCCCTTACTCATTTCTATTAAAAAACTACTTTTACCCCTTACTTTTTCAAACCCTACCTATCACATCATACCTTTTTCCTAATAATCTACACATCACATCATACTTTTACCCATCACATCAAGGGTATTTTTGGAAAGTCAACACAAAATTATCACTCCCTTAATTTCAACTTTAGTCAAAATGGGTAACACTTTATGGGACGGAGGGAGTATGAGTTTACAAATACGCCTCCATCCTGCATAGATTTTTTCAGACATCATTCATTAACTCGCTTTGTTAGCTTAGTTTTTTATTCATCTCATAAAGTGATATAGTTTTTTCACATATTGTTTTGTTGGCTTTTTCAAGTAGTTTTTTACTATATGAATTTTATTTTTAAATTTTACATTTAGAGTCAAATAAATAAAATCAAAAAATAAAATTGATCAAGTCTCGTAACGTGTAATGGGAGATCTATGGGGACGAAGGGAGTATATATTACTTCGTATGTATTTCTGTGAATTTATGTCTGTTAAAACAAAAATGAATTATGGTAATATAAAAACTTATCCAGTTAGGAGATATTGCTATTATGTAACATGGTGACACGCACGTACTTGAAGAACCCAAATCAATCAACTAAAAATTTATAAAGAGTTGTAATTTAAGAATGTTGAGGTTTCACTATGGTGCCACTGTATTTTTAAGTTACACTATGGTGCCACTGTATTTTTAAGTTACCTATAATGTTCATAAAATTGATGGTCTTCTAAATTCTAACTCCCGCCCCCATGCACCTCAACCCAACCTCTCCCCCCTATTGGATCGCCAATTGGTTACATTAAATTCGTATAACTAATTAGCAATACGAAGGAGGCTGGGATGATGTGTAAGAGATTTACAACGTAGAAATAACTAATTTTACTTACGGAACATCATAGGGCATGTGATATCATCCCTTGATACTCAAAGTAAGTATCTACTCCGTAATTAAAAGTTTTGTACGTGGCGATTTCACATTATAATTTTACTTAATTATCTTAATGTTGTTATGGAGTTTTGAGAATTATGTTGTAGTGTTTGGTTAGGCGTGTAATTGAATAGCCTTTGGCTTCTATGGAGTGTTTAAAAGTTCAAAGGGGGCATGATTAAGCTCTCATGATGAATGGTTGCAGAAATTTGATTGGGTTTGATTGTAATATAAATCAAATGACTCATATTCTAGCCGGAGACTAGGTAAGAGGTATTCTTGTATATTAAAGATAACTACAAGTCAACAAAATTTGTGTTTTGACTTTTTTTATAAAACAAACAAAAGTCATTTTCATCTCTTTGAGAAAAATATTATTTTAAGGAAATGATTTATTCCTACGTTTACCACTTATGCAACCTAATATTCGAAAATAGAATTAGAATTTTCTAGAAAAATGTTTTTCTTTAAGTCAAATACTCCGTATATCTTAAGAATTGCAGAGTAGAACACAAAAAACTTCATCTTAAAATTTGAGAAAAATTTTAGAATGAACAATAATTTCGTTGTATAAACTACTAGTAACTTTCTTCTCCTTCATTAGGGGAACTCTACCCACACGGATTCTGTCTTCCTCACCAAGAAATCAAACGCAGTCCGGAATCGGTCAAATTCTACTGGTTTCACTTCTTCATCATCATCCACGCATTATGAATGGGCAAAGACATTTAGGGATACGATTGGGTTTCGCGATTCCGTAAGAGTCCCAAGATCTGGAGAAATAGAGACTGTTGATTGAAGCAGGTAACAATAATGCTTCCACTTATCAAGCTCGGGACGCTCGCGCTGAAGACTATGAGCAAACCCATTGCCGCCCGGCTCAAGAAGGAAGCCGGACGGCACCCCAAGTTCCGGAATTTCATCATCAACATTGCTCAGGTATTAACATTTATATTTATAGGTGTTTGTTTGTGTGATTTTCATATTGTGTCATCTGTACAAGTAATGTGTGTAATCAAAGCTGATCCACACATTTCACCCAGATTTGCTAAACTTACTCTCTATGCTACACTGCCTACACATATTCTTCAAGTGTAGAAAGGAGTTTTTTTTGCGCCATTTAACCCCGAACTCTTCAAAAATTGTACAGATTTCCGGTGAACTTCAAAAATTGCACTAATGGTCTCTGAACTTTCAAAAAGGTTGCATCAATGGTCCCTCTACGTTAGATTTAGGTGTACGTTAATCACACGTTTGTCCAGTGCAAGTGTGGATCCATCTAAACTCATGTATCGCACTTGAGTTCTGCAATATGTTTTCTCGAACATTATTTTCTTTGTTTTCTATATTTCAAACCTCTTGAAAGTCCAGATAAATATTCATGCAATCACGCTTTAGCCGTCGATTATCGAATTTGAAGTTTAGGCATCAGTCAATCAAGCTCTTCATCAATTGATCAATATTTTCATCAATCCATGACATCTTTATCAAGCTCCAACAAGTATAATGATTGTGTGATTAATGCGCTCCCAAATCTGACGCAGAGAGACAATTGATGCAATGTTTTTAAAAGGTGAGAAATTCATGTAATTTTTGAAGAGTTCAAGGGGTAAATTGCCTAAAGACCCATTTAGAAAGTGGATTTATCAAATTTGGGTAAGATGGTATGGATTTAGCCAATTAGCCATTTAAGGTGTGAGTTTACTCTTACCCATTGGTATGTTAGTATGTTACCCTCTCACTCTAAGGTGAAACTTCTTATCATAATGAGGTACAATAATCAGAAATAATCAATTATAGATGTATAGCTATACTTCTAATTTATTTGTAGATTTAGCTCAATTAAATTTGTAACTTGTTTGGGACATGTTTTTTTATTAAAAAGCATTTGATATAGTGGAAAGTTGTCTTTTTGTTCAAAAAAGACTTTTTTGGGACAAAAGTAAGTCTTTCAATAAGACTTTTTTTTTTAGACAGATGAGTTTTATTGTTGTTGTTGAAGATACATGTAGATGGATGCTCTGGAGAGTTTGGTTGTAGCATTGAATATTTGAAATATTTAAAGATAGAGAAGTGATTAAGTGGACTGAGATTTGTAGGCAGAGAAATGTAGAACTGAAGTTTGCCAAATGAAACAATGCACATTTCAATTTTTGTAGACTGAAGTTTGTACATTCAGAATTCATAACAAAAACACCTTGTTGGGAACTGAAGGAGTTAAAAGATATAAGTTGGTGAAAGAAATGTGTTGAAAATAAAAGTGTGGGTGGAATTTATTTAGAGAAGAGAAAAGTGTCTTGAACCCCATTTGTCTTTTCTTTTTATGGAAAGAAAGAAACTAAGAAAGTGAGAAGTTTATTTCGGGATGGATGAGTAAGTAAAGTGGAATTTGTTTTTGGAATGGAGGGGGTAGTCAACTATCACTATTATAAGTATACTTAGTTTCCTGTTTGGAAAACCTTCGCAGAGGCATATTTGATAGAGGTGAATAAAAGCTTTCTTATTTGTACTGAAACGGAGAAGGATGCCATCAGTTTGCAACTTTGTAATTGCTTTCAGCATCAATAGATGACTAAATTCATTAAGGTTTTAGATTAGTTGATGACTCGATGACAGAGTTGTTGGTCTGGAAGAATTGGCAAACACTTATTTGTTCCATCTTTGTTGATTTTTTTGAAAAACTTGATATCACGGCAAGTGAGGATTTTTTAAATCATCTTTTATGTATGTATGTGTGTGTGTGTATATGTATGTATGTGTGTGTGTATATGTATGTATGTGTGTGTGTGTGTGTGTGTGTATATATATTTGATTTGTTGTATCCAGGCAAACCACAGAATCACCACAACAATGCAAAGGCGTATCTATGGTCATGCAACTGATGTTGAAATTCGACCGTTGAATGAGGAGAAAGCCGTGCAGAATGCTGTAGATCTTCTTGGAGAATTTTTCATTTTTTCGGTAGGTACCTTTCTATTTACCTTTACATTACGTGTTTGTATGTTTCCCTCATGCCCTTGTTTGTACTCAAATCTATTCTAAGGAAAGATTTTAATCAACTCATGGGGTAATGTGTATGAAAATATATTCTTCACATGGTGATACATTCCAAGTTTGAAATGATAGTGTCATATTGACATTATATGG